AGGGAATAGCATTTTTATTTAAATTAATTTTCATTTAATCATTCTGTTATTCTTTAGGTTAAATTTTTAGATCTTTTTTATTAACTAGGTTGGCTTTGGGAATTTGGCTTTTTTTTTTTTTTAACTCAGTAATTTTCACAGCAGGTAGAAGCTTCTCGGAATTCCCTGAGGAGAAATTTCAGAGTAAGCATAATACTGGTTCTTTTCTCACCCCAGCATGGTTGGGCATGCATATTTCGTAAAAATCTCCTTACGGGATTCTGATAACCATTGCCACTCAAATTGAGAAGAAGTTTTAACTTGGTAGAAATTTCAGCTTAACTGATACTTAGCCTTTCTGCTCCCTGCGCAATTGAAAGATCCCTGCCCTCCACACACAGCACATGATTTGCAGTGCAGGAACGACTATATACTGTTCTTGACAAAGAATTTTTAAAAATCGAATTAAATCTTCTACCCTTTCTACCCACTGTGTGTTGGTGAGAAGGGGAGGCTCCGACTTCCCCTGCCCTTTGTGACAACTGCTTGTGTGTTGACCCTCTTCAGTTTCTGTCTTGTGAGAGTAGACAGATACTGTCTGAGTAAAATAACACAAATTAAAGAAACAACACACTGGGAAGAAGGGGAGCCAACTACTAAGTGAAAATGAGGGTGGGGGAGGTCAATTTTTTATTTTTATTTCCCTTTCACTCTTTATGTCTGTAGTTATTGTTATGCAATTATTTGGGGACACACAAAAATTGGAACAGCCTCTCAAGTAGGAAGCTCTGGCTGCAGCAGGTGCATACTCCCATGCTCATGTTCCCCAAAATAACACAAGGGACCCTTCCAACGCCGCATGGATTATTCTCCACTCCTGAGCAGGGTGTCCTCATGCTCAGAATGTGCTATACAGTGTGGCAGGGTCCATTTCCTGTCTCCTTTAAATCCTCTTGCTTCAAGCACTCAGCTTCCTCTGTGCTTTCCCCAGGCTCTGGGTCTCCAGGCTTCTGGGTCTTCTTCCCTCTCTGTCCTCCAAGGTTCTTCCCAGGCAGACAGAGCCCTCAAAGGGAAAAATAGATTTTCCTAAGCTGTGAACTCTACCATTACTAGTGTTCACTTAAAACCAAAAAGAAGGAAAATGTCTTACTGTCCTTTATAATTTGACTGTTTCTCTTCTTCCTTTCCCAGATCTTTGCTAGGAAGGTACGTAGGGAGAGACAAATATCCTTTCTGTACTCAGACCTAAGGTGTGATGTTATGTAACTTCTTATGAAATAGCTCTCCAATCTGGAAATGGTCCTAAGAGAAATGTGTTAAGAGGGAAGGAGCATTAAGCTGAGTTTTAGGAATGAACGTGGCTTCTCTTTATCCTTGCCTCAGTTTCTCTATTATCCAGATTCTGTAACTAGAAAAGCTGTGTGGCTGGAAATAGGACTAGGCTACGAGGTCCTTTAGGGAAGAGACTGTCTCTTTTGTTCAACACCTCAGTAAAAGCAGTGAACAATGAAAGAAGCAAAAAAGCTCTTTGAGTAGAAAGGAAATAGTCCACACAAAAATACATACTTTTACAACAAAATAAGGCGGTTGACTTCATAAGCTTTATTACCTGGGTTCCTTAGAAAGCCTTCAGTTCTTTTCTAAGTTATCACCAGAGGAATTTACAAAATTTGAAGGATTTAGAATGTTCAGGCCAACAATTAAGAGTGGGAATAGGGTGGTAGAAGTAGATCATTTACCGCAGGAACAAGTAACAGGCTGGAGACTTAGCAGTCAGGGGTCATTTAATGTAGGGACAATTAACCCTGAAGCCCTTACCATCACTGGGCAGGGCAGAGTGGGGATCTGAGAACCATGGCCCAGAGGGGTGGGGCCTGGGAAGGATCACCTGAGCCTTTGCGTTCATAGTAGCCCCCTAAGGACGCTGCAGGATGTAGTGAGTGCAGTGTAATAATCTGTATGCCTCATGGTAGGTAATTAATATTTACTTCCATTTTACTAAAATAAGCATTTTAAAAAGCACCATATTTCCATTTAAAATGATTAAAAATTTTAATATTTTCGTACATAAATGATTTCATCTTTTTATTCCCAAATGTGCCATTTCTTGAAAATGTGAGATAAATGTTACTGACTAGGTCAGTAAAGGAGGGATAATAATAGGGCCCTTAACCGTCTTACTGACCTATATCAAACATGCAAAGCTGTGAAAATGATGGATGGTGTATAAATAAAAGGCAGTATTTATTTCGTTCAGCCCAAGTGGATACTCCAAGAATTAATATCTTAAAACTCCTTTGAGTACTGTTCTTATACTTTTCATTTGCATCTGTCTCATAAAATTCAGCATTTTGCATTGATCTTGAAGAAGCAATGTTTTTGTTTTTTTGTTTTGCATTTTTTAAAATTAAACTTTTTTTAAAGATTTTATTTGGGAGAGAGCGGGAGCACGAGTGCAGAGGGAGGGGAAGAGGGAGGGGGAGAAGCAGACTCCCCACTGAGCAGGGAGCCCAAAGCAGGGCTCAATCTCATGATCCCAGGATCGTGACCTGAGCCAAAGGCAGATGCTTAACTGACTAGCCACCCAGGTGCCCCTTAATTAAACTTTTTTTTTTTTTTTAAAGATTTTATTCATTTGACACAGAGAGAGATAGCAAGGGCAGGAACACAAACGGGGGAGTGGGAGAAGGAGAAGCAGGCTTCCCGCCGAGCAGGGAGCCTGACGCGGGGCTCGATCCCAGGACCCCGGGATCATGACCCGAGCCGAAGGCAGACGCCCAACGACTGAGCCACCCAGGCGCCCCCCTTAATGAAACTTCTTAACGAAGGATAATGAAGTCACATTCAAGTAACCCGCATCTAGATCCAGAAACAAGCCCAAAAGCTCCTGGTGCTTTGTTTAGCCACTGTTCCTCCTCCCCTCTACCCCACAGCTCAAGGGTAAGCACTATCCTGACATCTAATAACATAGTTTAGTTTGAAGAAAGGATGTTAACATTTAATCTAAAAAGTTTTGGAGAGTCCTTTATAAGGTAAAGAAGAAAGAAGCATGAATATATACTGTTATTATATAAGCTTAAGGTAAAGAAGAAAGAAGCATGAATATATACTGTTACCCTTTATTTGGCTTGTTTGTCTTTCTGAAGTACTTCAGGAGAAGCATGATTGGAATAGAGCAAAGTGGCCAGCTTTTGAGTTTGGATCTATGTGTACTCAAGTACCTTATTTGTGGAAAAGATGGAAGCCCTATTCTGTACATTCCTCTGTTTTGACAGAAACCAAAATTTTGTAGGGTCACTCTCTTTTCTGTGTCTTTGACTTCAAAGGGAATTACCTTCTCTCCATTTAGACTGAAGGCCTCTCTACCTTTGATATTCTGTCATCAGTGTTTCTTATTATTAAATCAACATGCTGATTTATTCCCAGGACTTCGGTAAGGTATGAAAAATGAATTGTTTTCCCCTACTTTATACATTTATATTTACATTTCACTTTGGGTGTTCAGAATTAACTATTCGTGGGATACTCAAAAGTTAACTCTTTTTCCATATAGAAGAGAGGGATATCAATACAGAGTGACTTGGATGGAATTTTCCAAAACACGGGCTTTATATACTGTAAATCTCTGCCTATTGTAGCGTTCTGTGCATTCCAGAAATCTTATGATTTCAGTTAAATTCTTATCTTTTCTCATTTATAAAGTGAATTGATTCTTAAGCTTTTGCATGTAGAGAAAATAATGTATATACATGTATGCTTTTAAACTGTGGAAGTTGCCAGATTGGGGGCCCTCTGAATAGGAAAATTTGTCCATTCAGCGGTTGTCTTGGTGCTTTGTTAACTAACTAGGTGCTCTTAGATTTGACTGAGGTTCTAGTTTTAAGATCATTAAGCCGTGAGACTTAATCCCCAGCTAAGACTACCAATTAGGAGTTCATCTGGTATAATTTTACTAGATTCTTTTTTATATGTACATACTCTCACTATTTTTAAAAAATTGTGGTAAAATATACATGACATAGAATTTGCCATTTTAACCACTTTTAAGTGTACAGTTGACTATTTGGTTTTTAGAACTTTCATTCGTATCAGTTCTTGTCAACAGATACTTAATGGTTGTCAGTTAAGTGCCTCTTGAGCTGAGGTTGGTGGATCACTGGAAAATTGTGAAAGAAGTGTAAACATGGTCCCTGTTCTCAAGGGGAGTAAGCCTCATTAGGGAAACAAGATATATGTATACCAGTTAAATAATGATTCATGGTCAGTAAGGCCTTGACTGTTCAAGGAAAGCTTTGTGTAAAGGTGAGAGTCAACTTGGTCCTTAATCAGGGGTAGGATCTGTGTAGTTTGAGGAAGGAGGAAGTGGGCAACTAAAAAAGCGTACCAGCTGTTGTTGCAGAGTAAAGTCCATTGTCTTTCAGGCAATCTGTTGCTTTTTTCCAGCTTTGGAACACCCACTGTTTTTAAAATAAGTTGAATATTCAGATGAGGGAATATATTATTAGCAAGTAATTAATACTTTTAAAAATCACAGAAATCAAACTTACTTAACTGGTGATACAGACACTGTTAAAAATCCAGATTTATAGTGATAGAAGGGTTAAATTCCTATTAAAATTCCATGCAAATATCGGTATTCATGCAGCATTAAACTTTTCAATATATTACCACTTGGGAATAGGTATTTCATTAGTGAGTTTAGAACAATAGCAGTTAAAGTTTTTATGAAAAATAATTGTACAAAAATCAGCATGTAATGAAATACATTTATTGAAATTAATCTTTGAGTGTCTGCTATTCTGAAATTAGGTAAAAGGTTTAAAATGGGTATATACTGTGCATAAAGAATGAGTTATGATTAATCCTGAATAATCTTGTACTTGACACTTGATGACAAAGAACGATGCCTGTCTTGTTAGTGTATGTCTATAATGGGTCAAGGATTTTATCTGGGCTGAACATAATGTCTTACAATAAGAATTAAAAATGAAAACAATGTTTTTTCTTTCTTATATCTGCAGACAGGCAAACATACACTTGGGACCCCCATGTTCACGTGACATCAAGAGGAAACGGAAACCTGTGGCCACAGCATCTCTGTCCAGCCCAAATGCAGGTAACTGTATGTAGTTATCATTTATTGAGCACCTACTGTGTGTCAGGCACTAAATTATGTTTTATATATAACCTTTATGATAAGGTAGGTCATTTTATTCCCATTTTACTTGGGAAAATAAGAATGTGAGATGTAATTTGCCCAAGGTCACACACATTTTAAGAATCCAAACCTAGTTCCCTCTAACCTTGAAGTCTGTGTTTTTTCACAGTGTCATGTGGCTTTTTTGGGTTTGAATCCCGGTATTCTACAGTTAGCAATCTTCAGTCATCTGTGCTTTTGTTCTAGCACAGAGAAGAAATTAGGTCTGTGGTCATGAAAATCCAGTTAGGGTGGCAGTTTTAGTCAGTAGCCAAGGAGCCACATGGGTTTATTTACTTTTTTACTTGGCACATAGTACAATACATTCTCACTGTTACTATGTGTAGTGGAGTACTAATACTCTACTAGTCATGAAATTTCTAATTAAAAACTATTTTTCAAGTTAAAACCTTGCAGTTTTCTGGCCAAAACCAGTTGGTTGGAAACCGAAATAGTGGTTATCTTTGGTGAGGGGTAGTGACCAGGAGACGACATAATCAGAAGTCTTCTGGGAAATGCTCTTTGTCATCAACTGGGTAGGAATTACATGGGTATATGCATATGTAAAAATTCATTGAGCTGTATGCTTATGATTTATGCCCTTTACATATGTTATCCTTAAAAAATGGGGGGTAGTCATTATTTATATCAGAAAGAATATTGGATGTTTGTAGGTATTTTTCTTTGGAGTTTGGAGAAGACAGTTAAACATAATCGGTAATCAGGAAATTTTTGTGTTATTTCAGTACAGTTGATGATAAATTGCTCTGGATAAAAAGATCATATCTGTGTGTAGGACCTATCAGAAGTACAGTTATTTTCTTGATGATAGTGAATTCACTCTGAGGAAATTGAGTATATCATAGATTATTTTATTTTCTTCAGAAAATACTATATATTATATAGATCAGAGCAGTTGATGAGTGAAGAATAGACCTCAGAGAGAAGGGAACTCTATCTCTCTCCCTTAACTTAGTAAGTTTCAGCATACTTTAAAATCGACTTCTTTCAGCTTCTGTTTGGGGTGACTGCTTGATAATGGTTCTTACTGGACAATCTTAATCACAGGTCTGATAATTATAGTAAATTTTTTCCAGTGATTTCTACATGGACATGGCCTGAGCTGATTACTTTGCGTGCATTATTTCACTTAATCTTTGCAACAACTTTAAAAGGTAGATGCTGTTTTTATTCCCAGTTTACACATGAGAAAATTGAGGCTTACAGAGGTTAAATCACTTCTCCAAGGTCCCGTGGATGATAAATTGCAGAGCCAAGGTCAAATCGGTTTCCCTCTGACTTCGAGAGCTGCGCTGTTACACACTTCAGGTGTTCTGTGTTGTATAAGGTAGCATTGGTTCCAAACTGACTGCATCAAAATCCAGCCTATGGTATTGGAAGCATTACAACAGTCTCCCCTCTTGTATCTTTTGTTCTTTCCCCCCCTCAATATCTAGCTTCTATTTTTAGCTTTTAATTGTTCCTAAGACAAGAACTGTTGAGAAGAGTTTAAAAACCTTGTTCCACACTCAAAGCAGGAAATGTTACTGGGAGGGATTAAACGAGGTTTGGGCATTCAGCACTTCTCCTCCTGAGCCCAGCTCCTCCTCTCACTTGTTGACTAAGGTCTGCTTCACTGAACATTTTCTTTTTTTCCTATCCACAACCTGAGTGCCCCGTGGAGGTGAAGGACATAGCCCGAGCCCGCACCATCAGTCAGTAGAACAAATGGGCTTGCTCTGCCTCACATCGGGCCATCTCGGATTCCACCTCTTTTATAGAAATGAGTGATGAAGAGAGGTGCGTTCCGCTTTGCCGCTGTATTAATACACATCGGGGGCCAGCTCCTGGCACTAAATCACGCTACTGCGTACATCTGTTATCTGACTCTTCACCGGCGTGATGAACAAGACTGCAGATAGAGGCTTCCTTGTGTCATTCTTTATAGGATTTTCCTAAAAGAATAAATAGCTCAGATCTCTGCCAACACTCTCCCCTGTCACTGTGATGAATTCAGCTTCTTTCTTAAACATGCAGCCACAAATCTTTTCCCTTTTCCCCTCCCCCGCCGGTGGAAAGTTTTGAGTTGAGATTGACTGAATTTAAAGGTATTAATAAGGCTAGAGAGGTGAAGAGCAGAAAGGAGTAGCTTGTCTTCCTTGTCTTTTTATATTAACACTCAGGAAAGGCCAGGGAAAAAGACCTTTTCATTAGGGTCGTTAAGTAGATCCTTCTTGAAGTGTAGCACCTTTATTTTCTTCTTTTTATCTCCACTCCCCTTCCCTTTATGACTTTATAACCTACAGTTACCTGGTACACAGAGCCACCCTTGGATTTTAGCGAGTAACCATGTAAGAACCTGCTTCTGTTTCAAAAGCCCCAGAACAGGGAAAGTCTATACCTCCTGCTGAAGTGAATTGGCTCTATATGCTCTTTAAAAATGTGGTTGGAAAAGAAAAAACGGGGTATTTTCTCTAAGATTTGAGATGAAGTGGCTATAAGAAGCGTAAGAAACTCAATGAAAACCAGATTTCATTTCCGTGAGATGATTTTTCTTGATTAGAATGACAAGAATGGAGCCTTTGGTGTACAAATCCCATTCCTTCAAAAATTAAACCCATGGCTTTTAGGTAAAGGAGAATTGGGGGATGATAAGACATTGTATTCAGAGCCCTTACTATTTTGGGCATCCCCCGAGCCTCTTCTGACCTTCCTGTCTCTGGGATAGGATATGTGTCCTTAGAGCATCAGTTGGAAGGGTACTCAGCTGTTAATCTGTTAACTAGTTACATCAAATTCCAAATACCAGGCCAGTGATGCTAGAGATGTATTTGTGAGAGCCGAAATTTTTATCTGTTTTGCTCACTTCTGTACCCTGAGCATCTAAAATAGTACTCAGCACAGAGAATGATCTCACTAGGTATTTCTTGTTTGAATAAGTGAATGGAATCTTAAAGTTGAAACAGTTACTCTAAAAATTATTCTAACCCTGTGATCGGATTTAGTAGTTCCGTTGTAGGTTAGCCCTTGCCTCAGGTATCATAAGGCAGATTCTTACTGCCCCTTTTTACTTTTTTCTTACTGCCCCTTTTTAAAATTCAAATAGTTTTTATTTTATTTTTATTTTTTTAAAGATTTTATTTGAGAGAGAGAGAGAATGAGAGAGAGCAAGCACATGAGAGGGGGAGGGTCAGAGGGAGAAGCAGACTCCCCGCCGAGCAGGGAGCCCGATGCGGGACTCGATCCCGGGACTCCAGGATCATGACCTGAGCCGAAGGCAGTCGCTTAACCAACTGAGCCACCCAGGCGCCCTCAAATGGTTTTTAAAGTTAAAAATGTTTTTTAGTAAATACTGAATGGTTATAAAAGAACATTTATAGAAGATGGATAAGGTGTCAAGAAAAACAATATAGCAAATATCCATGTACCTACCTCCACTTTAAGAACATGAACATCGCCTTTAAAATTTTCCCACTGTCCTCGTAGGTAACCATTGTCCTCATACAGTTTTTTGGTTACGTGAATATGGTTTTTTGTTAATCATTTATCATTCTTTGGGAATTTTTTCAGCTAGCTTTAACAGACATATAGCTCTCTAAGCAATACATTGTTTAGTTAGCATTTTTTGGAGGCTTGTGTAAATGGAATGTCTTACTTTATAAGTTTCACCCAGTTATGTTTTGAGATTATTCGTTTTTGTCCTGCCAAAATCCTTTTTTTTTTACGCCACCATATGCAAATGGTATTCCATTGAATGACTATGCTGAGTATATTATAATTAAACATTCCTGATGGACATTTGGATTATATCCCATTTTATGCTACTGTGAAAAATACTGCATTGGTCTTTGGGAGAACATGTGCAAAAGTGTTTCTGGGCCATTTCACAGTCCTTAGGATGGCTATATCAAGGACCAGGAAACAACAAATGTTAGGAAAGATGGAGAGAAATCGGAACCCTTGGGCATTGGCGGTGGGAACATGAAATAGTGCAGCCGCTATGGGATGCAGGGTGGTGGCTCCTCACCATTGTAAACATAAAACTACCGTATGAGCCAGCAATTCCGCTTCTAAGTGTATACCCAAAAGAATTGAAAGCATAGATTCAAACAGATATTTGTACATCCATGTTCCTAGCAGCATTATTCACAAGAGCTAAAAAGTGGAAGCGACGCAAGTGTCCATTGCTGGATAAATCAATAAACAAAATGTGGTTTATACATTCAGGGGAGGAGTATTTGGCCTTGAAAAGGAAGGAAACTTTGACATGCTACAGCATGGATGAAGACATAGTACTAGGTGAAATAAGCCAGACACAGAAGGATAAATCCTGTATGATTCCAGTTATAGGAGGTACCTCAAATGGTCAAATATGTGGAGACAGAAAGTAGAATAATGGTTGCCAGGGGCTGGGGAAGGAGGAGAGTGGCAGTTACTACTTAACAGGTACAGTATTTCCATTTGGGAGAGTGAAGAAGTTCTGGATATGGATGGTGCTGATGCTTGTACAGCAGTGTGAATGTACTTAATGCCATGGAACTGTACACATAAAAATTATTAAATTGGTAAATTTTGTGTTACGTGTGTTTTACCATAGTAAAAAATACAGAGCAAAAAAACCCCAGTTTTCCTAGGATAAGGGATTTTCCCCGCTGCGGTTGAATACCATATAGTAATGGTAAATACAGTTTTATGAAATTTATTTTCAGCTAAATATGAGTGAGTGAGTGCTTGTGCACGTGTTTGTGTGAGAGGGAGAGACAGAGATTTGGGTTGTGGTGTCAAATGTATTTTTTGCTGCTGGGGTTGAGGTTCCAAAATGCTTGAAAACTGTTGCCCTCAAGAAGCTCTTGTATACGTGCCATAGAGTAATAGCCTACAGATTGTTTTTTTTTTGCAGTAACTCACAGTAAGAAATTCATGTTCGAATATGTATGTGAGTGTACATATAAATCTGAAATAAATTCTTGCATTCACTCTGATATATCCTGTTCCTTTCCATTAAGAAAAAAAGTACTGGTCATGGCCTACTAAATTGATTTGTGACCCACAACTTGAAAATTACTATTCTGGTTACATTCCTAGGAGTGGAATTAATTGAGTGACAAGGTAAAAATGAAAATTGTCTAGATTTTGCTGTATTTTGGTGTATATTCGTTCACTCTCAACAGAGTGGGCATGATGGTGGTTTGTACCACTCTGCTCAGGGGGCATTTGGAAATGGGAGGACAGTGTTTGGTCATCACAATGACTGAGGATGCTTTTGGCATTCACTGGATGGGGTCCAGAATGGTACGTGTCCTAAAATACACAGGACAGCCCTGCACAAGCAATGATGATCATGTCCAGAATGTCTTTGGTGTCCTTGTTGAAAAACACTGGGCCTGATTGTGTGATTTTTCTTATGATATGCTGTTTATTGGAAGTACTGTGTTACTGGAGGCATGGAGTGTAACAGAGCCTAGGGCTTGAAGTCCAGTATCTCAGCTTGAATCTTGCTACTTAATCAGCTCTGTTGTGTCCCTGAGCAGTGTATCCGCTGTCTCTCTGCCTCACTTTTTTGATCCAGAATATAGAGATGACGGTTCCTACTTGCAAGGGTTTGCATTAGGAAAACAGATTCTGGTTGGACAGTATTTACATAGCATAGTGCCTAGCTCATAAGTGCTCAGTAAGTGATCATAAGTGCTCAGTAAGTGATCATGACTACATTATGAATTTGTACAATTGAATTTATTTATTTGTTCAGTTAAACACACTTTCTCAGGTAGAGAAATACTCTCACTGAAATCTTGCCTCTTTTTTTTTTTTTTGGAAAGGACAAAAAAAAACCTTATGTGGCTCCTTGGGTTCATAGGTTATAAAATAAAAGCATTCAGAGAATTGTGCAGTGAAGTGTCTCTGATTCTAATTTGTCTCCCCTTGATCTTTTCTTCCTTCCTTTTATTGTAACCACCTTACCAGTTCATGTGGATGTAGTGGAAACAACTACACCAGCATCGCAGGTCCAGAAACCTCCAAACCCTGAGTGGTTGGTCAGGACCTCTGCCGCAGAGAAAGCCACTGACTCAGCTGCAGCGACGTTTTTTAAAATGCCACCAGAAAAGAGCCCTGGATACAGTTAGAGAGCAGGATTCCACCCACCAGGAGCTACTGGGTGTTGTGAAACGCATCCCAGACGTGGTACCGCGGAGTCTTGCATATCGTAATTGACATTCCCAATCCTTTCATCGCCGGGGTGACCCTTCTTTCAAACAAAGCAGTGGACTCTTTCTCTTAGAAAATCATGTTGTGGAAATCTGTTTTTGTTTTGTTCTGTTTTGTTTTTTTAAAGTTAGTAAAGTATTGCAGCAGCAGTTTTTTTAAAAAAAGGTCATCCTATGCTATATTTGTTACATTGCTGTCATTGTCCCAACAGCTACCTACAGTTCCTTTCACAGAGCTGTTGCTTTTTGCAGGTATGTCTCTTTTCTTGAAAAACTAGTAACTCCTTTTGCATACTTTACATGTGTAGCTTTTAACATCATTTGAGGAAGTCCCAAATTTGTAGCCAGTTCTAGACAGATGTAAACACTGAGTTGAGACCTGTGTGTGGAATTGTGTTTACAGGAGATAGAGTTTGCCTTTGAGCCTGGTCTTGATTCACTGAGAGTGCCAATAAGCCAAATTCACCAAGTTCTCATTTGGGAGCCTCAGAGGAGACACCAGCAACACGGACAGTGGAAGGAAGCTTCTTCCATTTTTCTGGATGGCCTAATGGGATCTCCGGCAGCTGGACTGTACTTTGCCTCATCTCCAGAGTTGGTGTTCTCCCGCAGAGGATATGTACATTCATAATATAATGAAGAAATGGTTTCGTTGTTCAGCAAACTTAAAATAGTCAGTGGATTGTGTCTTAGTACTTCATGTCACAGTATAAGCTTTTATGTATGAAATGGGACTTTTATTGTTAGCTTATAGGTGAATAACCTGCAGCAGAAATTCACACTCTATTATAATAATGGCTTCTCGGGGACATACTTCGGGGAGAAAAATGTCTTTTTGACACGCCTTTATACTTGGTGTGTTTATGACGGCTCAGCTGCATGTGGAGTTATATATACGGCCATGCCTGAAGTTGGATGCTACTTTGTCAAAATGAGGAATAAGTGACTGCCTGGAGCTGCTGGAGAAAAGCCACCCTTTCTAAAAAAGTATTTTCCAGAGTGTCTGTCATTTGTGGCCTGGTTGACAGAAGGGTTCTTTTTTGTACGAATTGAGTACATTTGCTCTGAAATACAGAGAAACTGTTCTCTAAGTGCCCACTTCTCTGGTAAGGTTCCAGAGGAACTCCCAGCCCTGCCCCTGGATATCTTCTGTGCTTGAATTAGGTGCCGAGTGGGACAGAGCCTCCTATCCCTGAAGTGCAGCTGTCCCTTTTCCTCACACACAATGTGAGGGTCGGCTGCTCTGTCGTGTTCCCTTTAAAAATGATAGTCCTTACCTATCCGTGCTAACTCCAGGATTTCCTTGTTGATGGGTGGGTGTGAATCTAGTAGGAAGGGGGGACTTGAAGCTAATTTAAAATGGCACTTTCTTTAAGAGGGAGAACACGTCAATTGTCCATAACGAGGAGTCTGGTGGAGGGAGGGGCACATGGAGATTATGAAGTGAGGAGTAGCATTAAAGCCAAACCAGCATCCCTGGGAGCCACCCCTAGTTCTCCTTTTGTCCATTGGGGCTACATCCAGAGCAGTATAGAAAATGAAAATGCCTGTTGAATATAAAATGGCACTACTAAATTGTTTTATTGATGAAGGGGGGTTTTATTGTCATATGTGCATTCTTACCTAGTTCCCATCATGTCCTAAGACACATTTCTAACATATTTGTTGGACTCAAGGGGAAAAAAAAATCCATGGACATAATTTTATTTTCTTTGCACTAAGCTCTGGCTCTTGCAGAGATGGGTCCTGTGATCATGGCCTATTCAGATCTCCACAGTTCAGATAGAATCTTGTTGCCTGGCAATTCTCCTTTCTACCTGTGATTACAAATAATTTATATATATGACTTTATTTACATTTTAAACATCTCTAGGATGATGTACTGCTATTTTAGAGAGACAAGAATGGTCACAGAGTTTAGCGACTTGCCCAAAAGTCACATGATCAAGCCAAGACTAAAATCCCAGACTTTCGGACTTCCTCTGCCCTGGGTTATAATCTTTTGTTTTTCCTTGGTAGACCTGAGTCACTCGGAGACCCATAATTTTGAAACAGTGTGTCATGAATGTTTATCATCTTTCTTGGGCATGCTTTTCTACATATTTTGAATACATCCCATGGGGATTATCCAAAAATGCCATATCTGCCTGTAATAAGTGGGGAAGAAAATTAATTGCCTAAGAAATAGCTATTAATACTTTGCAACACAGGGTTGTAAATTGTGCTGCTCATTTTAAGCTGCTGCATGAGCATGCTGACAGAATTATTAACCAACTTACTTTGCTTGTTTTCTATATGAGTCAATTCCAGAGGAATAACCTTGGAATTGAGTGTTTTTTGAATCATAAATTTTAAATTTCTTTTTTATATAGCAAAGTGTATGATGTCATACATTGAGTAAAGTCTGTTACCTTTCAACAAAAGATACAATTTCAAAATCAGGTTTTGTAGTCTCTTGAAGAAACTGATAGCGTGACTTCCTTTGAGGATAATCATTGAGCTCGTGTTTATTTGATCTGCCTAAAAGTAGTAACTGAAGCTGAGTTCCACCGTTCTTACTTATTTCGGCTTCTGATTTATCCTAGCTGGCTACACAGTCTGTCTGAATCCTAATCTTCTGTATTTTCCACAAGGAGCAAAAGTCAAGACATTATCCACTTACATGAGCATCATTCATAGAAATTAGTTTTGCTTATGAGTTTAAGGGAATTTGAGATTATTTTTCAGATGCAGCATTTTAAAGTGAACAAGTTCATTTGCATCAAAACTCTTGGGTTGCTTTTTGGTAAGAACGTGCAGAAGAGGGAATTAGCTGTTTACATGGTGCCAAATTTAGGAGAGGCAGAGTGTGATTTTTATTGAGTGGTGCGTGCTTGATCAATAAGGCACATTTAACCTTGAATTCTTTTGAAATCAAATGCAATTGAAAATTTTGTTTTGCTGGGCTGTGAAACAGGCTGCAAACAAGGCCATTTTGGCAGCAAAATGACCAAAAGCTGAAACAAAATTTCTTGTTCCGTGATGCTTGTGGCATCCTTTGCTAATGAGTAAAGCTCCACACTGACGATAGGTAATTAAACTACTTATGAATCCCACATAGAGGGCTGTGATCTATCTTTGCATTTCGGCATCAGAAACGCAGTCTAGACCACAGCATTGGAAGTTCTGGAGCCTCAGGAGCAGAGCCAGCACAGAGGTCACTTGGAGTTGAACAAGAGAAGGAGCTAGGCTCACAGTGTCATTGCTCATGGGGTGGCCTCTCCACTTGGGCTCCGGGGGTGTTTGATTCATTTCAGGTCTTTTCTTCAGTTTGGCTTCATTACCGTGGTGTGGGCCATATACTTTGTGTTTCCCGGGGAGAAGGCTTTGTGGAAATCTCAGCATTAGGAACTGCAGTCAGTGTTCTGTAGGTCCGGTGCACCTTCTGTGAGCCGGTGTGAGAACAGAGTGCTCACTCTAGCGGCTGTGGATGCGGTCTGGTCCAGGGCACAGTTTACGGGATATGTCATGATTCATGGGGTGGCGGCAGGGATGGTAAAAGCAGTTTGCTCTTGGTGTCACCTGCTTCCTTTGTTAATGCTTGAGCTGTCTTACTTGTCAGTATTTCCTTATCTCCTGCTCTGGTCGTGCCAGCTAGTAGAGTTACAGATGGTGGCAGCAGTCAGGATGGGTTCCTACCCCATCCAGAAATGGCACACAGGGAGAAGGTGAGGGAATTGGTGGGTTCTACTATAGCGGCCCAGAGATGCCTTCACGAAACTATTATTAAGATCCCCAAACAGATGAATGTCAAATGCCTGGAAACAGCAACATTGGAAAGAAGCAAGGAAAATGAATGATCCCGCTGAACAGTGTGGATTGAAAGGTTCTTAACAAGTCCGGCAAGATAAACTTATGGCCAAAAGGAGCAATTTTTCTGCCTCTGCAAATAGACATGATAAACACTAAAATTGCCAAGTTTTGGGGATAGAAACTTTTCAAGTACAGTATTGAAGAATGAGGCAGATCCCGAAGATGTTGACCAGGGAAAGCAATCTTGGCAAAGTCCAGAAATGAGAAGGCATGAGGAAGAGAAGGGGAGATGCTTAGAACAGGGGTGCTGGGGCTCCTTGACCACCAGCAGCAACACATACTTGTCCCCACCAGACCCACCCGAATCGGAAACTGAGGGTGGGCCGGGCAGTCTCACAAGGCCTCCGGAGGACTCTGATGCACGTGGACATTTGAGAACCACAGGCTTTGCTGTACCTAAGCATTTTAATATATTGGCATCCCCCTAAGCTCTGAGGTGCACTTATATTTCCCTCCATAAGTATAGACATGTTTTGTATATGATTCTTTGCAGAAACTGTTAATGTTTTTATTTCCCATACTTTTTCCCTAAAGCCCCTAAAAGATCTGGAAATGTTGAGAAAGAATGATGTGGAGAAAATTGCCATCAAGGCCATATTTAGATGGATGGAAACAACCTTTAAAGTGGATTAAAATATAACAATGAGTTTTTAGTCTGTGAGTGATAGTCATTTTTCACAATAGACAGTAAAACATTTGTGTAAGATACTGCTATCCATGATTTCATGATATTTGTTCATTACATTTTCGTTTCCTGGGAAAATGTCGTGTATTTTCCAGCATAATAATGATGAAGTCTTTAAGGTATGGCTCACAAAAATGAAAATAATTGGAAGAAAAAACCACCCTGAGTACCTAGTATTGTATAATAAATACTTGTTGCGTTATTGGTGATCTTTTGCTAGGACTTAATCTCGGTACTTCAGAGCATGTAAAAATCAATTTTCAGTGATCCACTCAATCACACCCTATTGTCTTTGTTTTACATTTCAGTGATTCTGCAGGGCTTGGTGGCCAATAGCAACAGCATGTTCTATTTTTTTGTCCGACTCCTGGATTCAGTGTTTCAGAATACGGTACTCTAATCCTAAAGCTTTGAAATGAAATCACAACCACTTTTTCTTTAGGTTTTATTTGTATGAATTGGGCTAGGCTCTAATTTATGACTTAAGCCCACAAACCCAAATTTTCTCTGGGAATTCGTGTGGCCAAAGAGGAGTTCTCTGGTATCATTTCTCAGGTGTTCATCTTGTTTTGTGCCCGGGGCTTGATTTATAAAGGTGATAAAGTGAGGGCACGGAGAGGTCTGTGTCACTGAAAGAAAAGTTTGTAGTTACAGTTCCCCTGGAAATGAGGCACGGCTTGCCGCGCAGGACCACAGGACGGCACCAGGTTTGGGTCAGGAGGCAGAAGACTGAAGCAAGCAGTAAGTTTAGGCCAGAGCCTTTATTGGGGTTTCCTCTAAGAAGGCAAAGCAGGGCAGGGTGAACAGTCTAGAAATGGCTAGTTCAACTAATTCTGGGGCCTTTGGGCTATAATCTAGTCTCTGGTTGCCTAGTACCTGGCCCTGGGATGATTGCTTCCTGGAGTGTAACAGGTCAGATGGAGGGGGTATGGCTCCATCGAACCTGGTTGGTTTGCACATCGAAAACATACTGCTGGCTGAGTCCTTTGCTATCTTTCTAAGAATCAGCCAGCCCTGGGAGAGGTAGTTTTTTCCCAGCCAGAAAGGTTTTTTAATCTGTTAAAACATCGTAATTATTACAGAAAGCAAAAAACATGATTAACACACATGTGTAAGCTGTTAAGCTCTCCTTTCAATTTTTGCAGTCTTTTTAAAACACCATGTAATTTTTCTTTTTTTTTTTTAAACTTTTTTAAGATTTTATTTATTTGACAGAGAGAGATAGTGAGAGCAGGAACACAAGCAGGGGGAGTGGGAGAGGGAGAAGCAGGCTTCCTGCCGAGCAGAGAGCCCGATGCAGGGCTTGATCCCAGGACTCTGAGACCATGACCTGAGCCGAAGGCAGATGTTTAATGACTGAGCCACCCAGGCGCCCCCATGTAATTTTTCTTTTCCATCTTGGAAACCAGTTAAAAAACACCTCTGGCCAAAAATGTTGTTACTAGATGCTTTCAAGGTATGGGAATATAAAAAGATTTTTAAGATGGAAATTATGAAAATTAATGTTTTCTTTCTCTAGAAGTGAGTTCTGACCCTTGCAGATCTCTCATTTAAATGTTTTTAATTGAAAAAGAATAAAATACCAGAACTTACAAGTGGCCTTGGTGGCTTGGACTGAAATCAACCCATTTCACTTTGTGTAGATTCTACCTCTTGCTCCTCCCAGTGGGCCATGTATTTCTCCATGAACAATGTCATGATTATGCAAACTTCTGGCACCCCAAAATCATGGCAACACTTTAAACTGCTCTCAGTATATATCCCAGTTTTGTAGTCAGTAGCTATCGCAGACTGTGGCCATTTCAAACTCTTTACCCCCACCTTCTCTCAGCCTCAGCAGCTAATCTCCCCCATCCCCTAACAGGTAATAAAGCATTAGACAGGAGTCCCCCATTGCATACCCTTACATACAACGCTTCCTCACCTTTCTTGTGCTTGTCCTGCCCAACACAAATCCCTTCAATGCCCTCAGTCCCTCTCTGATCAGATGCCTTGCTCAGTCTAGCTACAGCTTCTCACTCCTGGCACGTACAGCTCTGCATTTGAACATGTTTAAAGATTCCCTCTTGAAACGAAAATACTCTTTTGACTACCACTAAAATACTGCCCTCACTTACACTTCCTGTTCATTAATTCTCAGTCCACTGAAGCATTGGTTTTTAGCCCTGGCTGCACATTAGGACCACCTGGGGAGATTTTAAAGAATCCTAATTCCCTCAACTGAACTACAGACCAATTACATCAGAATGGGGAGGTGGGACAGGCTTCATTCTTTTTAAAACAGTGGTGCAGCTGGGGCTGAGAACCACCATGCCAAAACCTGGTTGCTATACTCATCACCATTAAAGTTGTTTTTGCTGGGTTCACCAGTGATTTCCAGTTGTCAAAATTCAGCCCTTTGGTTGATGCTTATGACTTCATACTATATAACCACTTCCTTTTTGGAATTCTGCCTGTTCTGACCCTGCTCTCCTGATTTTTTCCTCCACTTCTTTGCTTTTTCAGTCTCCACAGGTGGGCAGTCCCAACACAGACTGAATGTCCCTTTCTTCACCTCCAGTACTTCAGTTAACACCTATGTACTAATGAGTTCCTTTGCCATACCACCTAATGCACTGACTTAAAGCCTGGACTTAGAGTGAAGCATTTACATTCCTTAATCATTGTAGACGTACGGGAAAACATGCTCAAGGTCTCTGCTTCTTCCTTTGTTTCTCTTTGTGTCTGTTTGTCCCTCCTCTAGGCCCACTGAGGTAGGAAGGTTGCTAACCACATTAGATTCTAAGATGGATCACCCCTATGTACTCTTGGGGTTGCCATTCATAAGAAGTCAGGCTTGAACTGTGGTCCCTCTTCTGCTTTCTCCTATCCAGGATCTTGGACTGGTAAGGAGACCTGGGCCCACTTCTTCATACAAGGAGGCTACCCCCATCTAGTGCTCACTTCAGTTTTTTACTTTCTGCTGCTGGTAAGAGTTTAGTTTGGGTTTAGGGGGTGAGACAGACTCATTTCCTCACCAATTTTTGACCTTTGGTACCATGTTGGATCTTACTTTATTAGAGAATATTTACTGGGGTTTCAAGCCCTAGCTCTAATACTAAGGTGGAACTTGATTTTCTACTTTATTACTATCATTACATGGTACCTCTGGAACTATATGTAGGGGTTCCACCCTCACCAGAAGGGATCCTGTGTGTTCCTGACTTCCCTGAATCACTAATTTCTGTTTCAGAGTCTGGGATGAATGGATCTGATTAGTACTCATGTGCTTATGTCCGAGCTGCAGGAAGTGAGAATGAGGTTATCTGGAATGTGTAGCTTCTGATGGGGTTGGAGGAATTCCTCAAACATAGAAGAACAGTTCAGGTGCTGGACAGCTGATAAGAATAACAAAGGTCCATGAGGGCCATTGTCCTATTTACTGATTCAACAAACGTGTATTAAGCACTCACTAAGCCAGTCTTCCTCAGGGACCTTTTGGGGAAGGTGGCCGCTGCCTAAGGTCCTTAGATATACTCTGCACGAAACCAGTCTGACCCTTTCCAGAGCCCCTAATGACAGTAATAATGACTAAACTGAGTGATTATTATATGCCATTTGTCAACAGCATCTCAATCTTCAACAACTCTAAGGTAGGTAAATTTATATGTTTTAAAGCAATGAAATATGCTTATAGTTAGAGATTAACTTGCTCAAAGTTACAAAGCTAATCAGTGTAAGCCAGCATTCAAAATCCAAGTCTGTTTGGTGCTAGACTTTCTGTTCCTAGTAACACCCTGTGCTGCCCTTTTCACAATATAAATGAACTGTTGGTGGCCATCTATATCTGAAATAAACTGGGTGCCACTGGGCCTGGAACTGGGTGTCTTGTGACACCCTTTTACTCCATTTACCTGTAGCTCCTGGTGAGCTGTTTCTCTATCAAAGCAACTATGAATGGGCTCATCTCTTTTCTGTGCCTACATCACTGAAAGATCGGCAGTTTCTGTGGCATCTTCTTAAAATGACCTATTCTTGGTTTTGGAGGTGACCACAGCAAAAGTCAATAAAGTCTTCCAAATCTATGGCAATAAACAGATATGGTCCTTTGTAGGCCAATACAAAATGGATCCCTAAGCCAGAAGGACATGTACTTTGGATTGTTAATGTTAGTGATGAACTGTGCTGAACATCTTGCTAAACATCTTACAGAGCTGCTAGCCAAGATAGCCATCTTAACGGTTTTGACCTTTATAAATGTCCCTTCACTCAGTAGATGTGAGTAGAACACATTTTATGTCAAGCACCCTGCTAGCTGCTGAATGTACAAAGAGGAAGGGCATTCCTGTTGTCACGATATTCATGGTCTTCTGAGGAAGAGACAAAGCAAGTATTACAATGTAGAATGATAAACTTTGAGAAAGAATACCGGGGTATCTTGGCAGCAAGGAGTAAAGCACCCCAACTCAAACTGGGTAGAGGGAGGAGTTAAAAAATACTGGACCGGGTCTTGGAGGATGAACAGAAGTTAAGTGAAGAAGAGAGGATGAGGCCACCCAGCATAAAGAGCATGGTTTGTACAGGGCACTGCAAGTCTTTTGGTATGGCTGACAGCATATAGGAGCAGGGAAAAGTAGGCAGGAGACAAAGTGAAGGACCCTGTGTAAACTGGCTTGCTTGTTGATTAGGAGAGCTGTCACGGTATTCCTCTGCTGTATAGTCCTGGAAAGCCTACTGCAACTGGCCCATTTTGCAGACAAAGCTGGAACTGAGATGTGAACAGGTTTCCGGCTCCTCGATCACCTCCCTGGGAAATACAACCAGATCTGTCTCTTTGTAGGAGCTACTGACATGCTTAGGAGTAGATTAAGCTGAATTGGAAATCATCAGTTTGCACCATGGCTGACTGAATTCTTCATGCGTTCTATCATGATGCCAGTTTGAGGTTATTCCCCTTAAACTGCCTTATCTTGGTAGAATTT